GTGCTACCCATTTGAAAAATGTGTTACCCATTTTAAACACAGTGCTACCCCATTTGAAATAATGTGCTACCCATTTGAAACATTGTGCTACCCATTTGAAACACAGTGTTATCTATTTAAAACACTCATGGACTACCGTCTGTCTCTTATACACATCTAGATGTGTATAAGAGACAGGAGCTAGGTTTTTCTCGGCTCTAGAACTCGCCCATGGATATCATCAGATAACTCTAGAAGACACGTCAATAGAGAAGACTGCATTTAGTGTCCCATGGGGTCTGTATGAGTATTTACGTATGCCGCAATGTTTAAGCAATGCTGCTAGTACAATGCAGAGAGTCATGATTTTTATATTTTCCAACATGAATATGGTGGATCTAGTGCTATATCTCGATGATATATTGATATTCTCAACCACAGTGGAAGAGCATTAATTTTTGGAGAAAATAGAGAAGGTGCTAAGCAGGTTAAGTAAGTTTGGATTAAAACTCAAGGGGAAGAAATGTAAATTCCTTGTTCCAGAAGTAGAGTATCTTGGACACATTGTCAGTAGTGAAGGTGTACGCTGTCTCTTATACACATCTGGGAATTTTTGGGGGTAAGGCATTGTCCAATACGTTTAATATTGGGTGTCCGAGGTTTTCCAATGACTTTCTAAACAATGATGACAAGATTTTGGATTTCTAGAAACCGTTTCATATCCATTTTAATAGTCTTGGGGCCAAGGCCTGTTCACTTTCAGAAAAAGTGCTTGACTAGCAGGTCAGAGGTCAATAAAGGTCATTCAATTACAGTATGTCAATGATACTATAAAATCATAATCTGGGATAAAACATGTCATGATACATGATTATAAATACTGAATGAACAGATAGTTCCTATTCTATCTTAGGATCTGACCAAATAAATTATGTGACAGGACAACAAAATAGAAAGACTAAAACCATTTAATATTTTTGGAAAGGTCACCCCATAAGGGTCTTGGAACTGCCTGTCTGATGGGACATAAATGCTACTGTATTGACCATAAGGCTATTAGTAAAAATTTATGAATTTGGGCAGCAAGAATATAATTGTTGGTGATTTTTTGGCTAATAATTCTAGTATTTAAAGGAGAACAAATAAAAACAAATGATTTTTTGTTTAATTGAACATATAAGATAACAAAATTTCAGCAATTACAGTCTGTTGCATATGTCTCATTATCATGCAAATTATGGTAGACATGTAGAGTTTCTGATGTGACGTGGTGAAGCCAAATCAGTGGCTTGTTGGAAATTCAGATTTTGAGATAATGCATTAATAATCATTTAGTAAGGTATTGAATTTACAATTTGGTAAAAACATTTTTACTATCTGACTTTTCGTTTAAAGTTATAGAAGTTTAAAAATACATAAGTTTGGGAGAAACACTTAACACGTTTTCCTTGTTCCATGGCATTGCTGAATTCCTAACCTAGGAACAGGGGGCTGGAGTTATACAATGTTCTTGAAATTTGGCCGAAGTAATATCCATTTTTCTAACAACACACACAAGTTTCGTTTGGATCCTACTGTAATGTAGGTTTAAAAGTATTTGAGTTATAATTTGTACGAAAACATTGGTGATACATTTTGTATGCCACTCAGCGATACTCGATAGGCAGTGTACGAAAGCTAAAACTTAGCCTAAAAACAGGAAGTTGTTGTTTCTAAATGTTTTGACATTACCCAATTGGGCCAAATAAAATAAATTGTTTGTTTACCCTTCTTTTTCTAAAAATAATAAATAGGGGCGGGTGGAAAAAGTTCTGTTTTTTTTCTTTAAATACTCATCAGATGGAATAAAAATAAACCACATAGGCCTAGAATGGCAATATCTTAATCAGACAACAACTTTAGACTAATTTGTAGGGCATCTGGCAAAAAATAAAGTGGATCATTTTTTAAGGTGGCTCCGACCAGTTACGTTATTGCGTGTTTTTATGCAGCAATGCTTAAATTAATGAGATTGTATAACTCAATAATACGCAAACCAATACGGGGCGCCAAACGACACACTACCTGTTCTGTCACACAAAACCATGTTTGTAAGGGACAAATCATGTTTTGTAACATACGAAAGTTATTCTGTCTTTACAAAACATATTTTGTAAAAGACAAAACCATGTTTGTATGTACAAAACCATTTTTGTCTGTACAAAACATGTTTTGTAAAAAACGAAACCATGTTTGTCTGTACAAAACATGTTTTGTAAAACACAAAACCATGTTTGTCTATACAAAACATGTTTTATGAAGACAAAACCATGTTTGTCTATACAAAACCATGATTTGTGAAGACAAACTTAACCATGTTTGTCTCCACAAAACATGTTTTGTCTTGACAAAACCATGTTTGTCTCGACAAAACATGTTTTGTAAATGACAAAACATGTTTTGTAACTTAAAAAACCATGTTTGTCTACACAAAACATGTTTTGTAAATGACAAAACCATGTTTGTTTCGACAAAACATGTTTTGTAAATAGCAAAACCATGTTTGTCGAGACAAAACATGTTTTGTGAGGACAAAACCATGTTTGTCTGTACAAAACATGTTTTGTAAATGACAAAACCATGTTTGTCTCGACAAAACATGTTTTGTAAATGACAAAACCATGTTTGTCTCGACAAAACATGTTTTGTCTACACAAAACTTGTTTTGTAAATGACAAAACCATGTTCCGTATATTCATGAGGGTTCCGTATATTCATGAGGGTTCCGTATATTCATGAGGAGGATGTTTATTAATGATGAGGAGGAGACAATTCAACGCGTGATTGAGATACAGTGCACAGTGCTTGAAGAAGCCGAATGGGCCCAGAGAAGAAAAGAAGAGGTAATTGGTGAAGAAATAGCGACCAAAATATGGGTAAGAATTCCGAATAATGACCAATATAGACTTGATCACCTACCAGGCCTAACCTAAGATAATCACCCCTAGGCCTAGTAGGATAGGCTAGGTGGGATTCATGCTTGCTGTGTAAAGACAGGCCTAGGCCTAGTAGGTGCATAGCATAGGCCTTAGCCATAGGCACTAGCCTAGGCCTTTATGTCAACAAAAAGTGGGCTCTAATACACTTTAGTACTCCAACCTTACCCTACCCTTAACTTTAAGATAACAAGGCTGGAGTTGAGGTTAAGGTTAGGGTTAGGTGGAGTAGCCTACTAAGTACATTAGCGCCACAAATATTTTACCTCCATTTTCGGGCATGCTACCCGACTTTTTGTAAAAAAAAACAAAACAGGAGAATGTCATGCTTCGTGTAGGCCTATAGGAGAGTAGTAGGATGGGGCAATGGCAGCGTAGGCCTGGCCAATTAGGCTAGGATATATTTTCTGTTGGTGGGGGGTAAACCTGTCCACAGGGGGACTGGGAGCTCTAGGCTGTGCTAGGAGATGGTTCCCTCTCCCAAAACAGATTTTTTTAAAGAATTGAAATCTCTGAATTGCAGGAAATGGCATTCTTAGATTTATCAGACATGTGCTGGCTTGATGTAGGGTGAACGGGAAGGGGGTTCATACCCCGTTGAAGAGGCCTCGACCCCCTGTCGTCCGATGAAAGAATAGTTTTTCAGATCGAAAATTTAAAATATATATATATATATATATATATATATAAAATCATCCTGTAAATGATGTATACACTGATGGATGTCTAAAAATAATACAAATAATTAATGTATATCATTATCATCATCCAATTATTCTCTTTTAGGCATGTGCATTGTCAAGCAAGTGATTTTTATCTTTTTGAAATACTGACACAAATTTACCTGATAAATTACAAAATCTACTTGATGAGGGAATTCCTATCAGACGGATTGCTACAATTTTTGAGGTAAAATACTGTAGTCTGTTTATTAATATTATTCAGCACTGGACAGTCAGCTGACACCCTGCACAAGCAGACGTTTGCTTGGCAAGAAGGTAGCATGCTGGGTTCCACTTGGTCCACCGAGAGCTCTAAGCTCTGCAATCGTCCACAGCTTGACAGCAGCGTTGACCCAGGGTATCTTGTACAATAAACACCATGTTTAATTCAATGCAAGTTTTTACCTGAGGCCTACTGTAAAACATAAATGATCTTTTTAGGGTCATGAATGCTTACTCTTTCTTTGAATGCATTAAGCGTATAGGTGATTCGAATTGACAAATTGTAACCATAATAAAAATATGAAATTATTTGTTATTCCTGATGGAAGGAGAAGAAAATTTTTTTTGGTCAAGGTTTAAAGATTATAAATTTTAACACTACATAGATTCATGGCCATTTTAATTGGTAGTGCAATTAAACACAATTTTACTTGACAAACCTTTCTTGTTTGTTACAGGTTTGGCCTAACCATATTTATAGATAGATTATGGAACATGAGCTATTAGGTATGAAAGATATACCCAAATAACTGATGGTGAGTTAATGAACATTATGAAAGGAATTAAAGTTAATCATCCAAATGATGGAGAAGTGTTGATGGATGGCCATCTGAAGGCAAGTTGAATTAAAATCCAGCGCAAAAGACTACGGGAAGTAATGCATCTAGTTGATCCCAAAGGCATAGAAAATAGAAAACGCAAAGTCGTGAAAAGACGCTGTTATGGTGTTCCGTGCCCCCACTATATTATGGCACGTAGATGGAAACCATAAGATTTCAAAAAGATACAAATTTGTAATTCATGGTGGAATAGATGGGTTTTCGAGAACTGTGGTATTCTTGAATGTTGCTACAAATAATTATGCTTCCACGGTTAAAGCTGGTTTTTTACAGGCAGCTCATAAATTTGATTGGCCAATAAGAGTTAGAACAGACATGGGCCGGGAAAATCAAGGTGTTTGGGAGTTACAGCATGAGAAATGTGGCACAGGATCTGTGTTAATAGGACGCTCTGTGCACAATGAACCTATAGAGCAGCTATGGGGTGTGATTAATGACTGGGGTACGTCACAGTTTAAGAATCTGTTTGATCGTATGTACATGGCTGCAGAGCTTGATATTGATAATACAACCAACATTAAATGCCTGCATTGGGTGTTTTTACCTCTCATCCATAAAGTTCTGACCGAGTTAGCCATGGCCTTAAACAAAAGAAAAATTTCCACAGAACACAATAGGACACTGTATCAGTTGCAAGCCGAGTATGGTCACCTTAAAAACTTGTTTGAGTCAACCCCACTTGAGGAGCACAGGCAAATTGAATATGCCTACAATGATCCATCATCAGTACAATTTCCATTACAGCAGGTTCATATAGAGGAAGAACCACCTTTCCCTGATGATTTGCAGATGCGATTAACACGTTTGGGGACTGCTCAAACTTTAGCTCAAGGACGGGAATTATATTACAAAGTTGTTGAAACTGTGATAAATTATATCCATGAAACACAATAGAATTCATTCAAGCAATCATCAACATTTTATCCTCAACTTTAAGCAAATAGTTGTGCAGTATCTTAACAAAAGATATTTGTTAACACTTTACAGGTACCTGTAGATTTTTAAAAATACAATTAAATATGATTTGTGTGAGAAAAGGCAGAAGAAAAATGTTGTTGATAAATGATAATTTACAGTAGTATTTAACAGGCTTAGAAAATGTTTCTAGGTAGTTACAGTATATTTTATGTACTCTAGTTTATTGTATGAACATTATTTTGAAATATATGGTGTGCTTTAAATGCCCACAAGAAAAACATATGATGGTGATGGAATATAATTTTAGTGTTTGGTTGTGGTTAGTTTCAGGACTTTCAGGAGTCAAATGTAACAACTTTTTTTTCAACAATAATAGAAACTTGTGTACATACACCATGGGTACTGTCAATATCGGTCGAAGTTGTGACTCACCAAATTGAACAACATATTTAAAAAATCTTATATGCTGATTTAACATAAAAAGATTGTTAAAAATAATTGTGAAATTGTACTAACAAATGAAAATTTATCTTTGAAAGTGAACACAATGATCAAACTAGAGTATGATATAAACAGCTACGAGGCAAAATACAGCAGTAAACAAACCAACACCAAAACAACATGTCGGATTCTGATGCTCATGTGAACACATTTAATGCAAAATACAGCAGTAAACAAACCAAACCAAAACAACATGTCGGATTCTGATGCTGATTTGAACACATTTAATGTAAAGGATATGTAGTCGAAGACTGTAACACTTTGTGAGCAAGGGTGTATAATGGTGGAAGTGTGGGTATTTTTGTTCATGAAACTATAAATATATTGAAGGAGTTGACATCAAAACAGATAACAATGTCTGTGAAAGTTTATTCATAGGAATCCAAAGTAAAGGCTAAAACATAATTATTGGAATAATATATAAGCACCTGACCTTTCTGTCGAAGCATTCACAATGGCAAATGAACATGTACTCTTTAATATTAATCTGGAAAACAAAATATGCCACATTATTGGCGACTTCAACATTAACCTTTGAAATTATAACAACAATGATAAAACAAGAGTTTATTGACACCATGATATCCAATTCTTTTTTATCCTTTAATATCAAAACCCACTAGAATTTTATGGTCTTCCGCCTCACTCATCACAAATGGAAAAAAAAAAATACCCATTCCATCTTCTGTGAAACATAATGAAAATATATATATTTAATATATTTCAAATAATTTTTCAAATATATTAAATATATACGACTCTTTATGCTCAAGTATCATCTTAACTACTTTTGCAAACTAAAGAAGGGGCTTTAATTTGAGATGGGCTTCTCGAGATTAACACAATTGGGCTTGTATTCAAGGTTTTACGGTATATAAATAATGAAAACTTGTTATTTACATATAATTTCTACATATAAAATGCATTATATAAATAGTGGGTGATCTATTCAATTGTATGTTAAATTAATAATAAATTTATACATGTACTTTTGTTAAATAATAAATTTACACTTGGCACCTCATATATTTTGACCACAATAGATTGTGCTAAGATGCTTGTTATTGGATATAACAATTTTATTTTGCCATATAGCATTGTCACTGTCACATCTGTTCACCCATGTCACATTCTTAAGTGCAATTATCTAAATTGCAATTAAAAAACAAATCAAAATAGATAATTTTCTACTATACTTATGGAACCAGATGAAATACTTGATTGAAGTCGAAAGTTTACTGAAAAAAAAAGATGCTGCCAATACTATTAACATTTTGATGAATATATAGATTTTTTAGATCATTGGTTTTTGCAAATGTATTGCTGATTAATTTTGAGTTTCATTTCTTCTGATAAATTTTATATTTTATATACCAAACTGTTAGTAGTTTTTTAATTTTTAATTGTGTTTCTGATGTACAATTCTTTTTCAGAATTTTTATTCTGTATATTGTCTACAAACTGTATGGTAAACTTGTAATTTATCTTATCGTTGTTAGGGTATTCTGTTAGTTTATGATATTACAAACTACAACAGTTTTGAGAATATTGAAGATTGGTACCAAAAAGTTAAAAAAGTATTCACTGATGCAGATAAATTACCAAGCATGGTGTTAGTCGGTAATAAAAGTAAGTTTTCATATTTTTATGTAGGTGATAATGAAAATGTTTGCAGTTCATGTGAATGTATTTACTAACCAGTGGTGGCGCCAGGACCTGCCCGACGGAGGGGCTAAAGTCCCCGACGGGGGGGCTAGTGCAGCAAATCGAGTCTCACTTGGCTGGGTGCCAGGGGGCTGCCTAAGGCCCCCGGGGAAGCCACGGATATTTGATGAATTATGGCGAATTTTTATTACTTATTGGATAAGCATCGAGTTACTATATTATATGACTTCATGTAGGCTATGCTTTCTAATGTTGAAATCAGCTTCCAAAACCAAAACATTTTGAATAAAGCAAGAAACAAAGAGTATGCAATGTAACCATCTAATTTATTTTCAAATC